CACAAAGGTTCGTTTAAACGACATTAGTGAATTAGCTACACAAAGCGATTTTAGGAAATTCATCCTCTTAGAGAGTAAAATTATCTCGGAACAGTTTGTTGTATGAAAATTCCTTACTATTTGGTTTAGAAGAATGAAATCCTACAAAAAGAATTAGAAGAAATTTTTGAAATTCATCAACCAAATGGGTAAAGTTAGTAAAAATTTATATAAAACTTGGTGATCTCTGGATTATACACATAAAAATTAGCACAAAGGTAAAGCGAATTTATGAAATTTATACCTTTAGGGAGTAGAATAGGGAATGAAAGTTTGCTGTACAAAAATGCAATACTATAACATTATAAACCAGACAGTATAAAATTTTATCCAAGGGTTTATTTAGTGACATCATAACGAAATATATCTTCCTCAATTATCCTTCAAAGAATAAAAAATAACCTATAAAGAGAGTATTAGTGCTCTTAATAAATAAAAAAAAGATGAAAAATAAAAACATCTATATGCTCACTAGCTCTCTATAAAGAAGTAAAAAATCATTTAAAACAATGCATGAACAATTCGAGGTGTAACGCGAACGTAGTCGCGAGAAAAAGCTAGTAATTTATTAAATTATTTTATTTAACTGATTAATTTTCATTGAAACGGAATTTTTGTAATTCGCCACTATATTTGTTAAAAACTAAGAAACTCATATCAAATTTAAGTTTTGCGATTTTGACTTAAACTTTTTACAAAATCTGAACACATTTTAAAAGAAAAAAAGTTTTTGATAATATTTGTGTAGATTGACTACAAGTTGTATAACATAAATTTCTACGACCCGTCTACCTAGTGGTCTGCAGCATCGCCTTGTGGTGCAAACGTGGGCCTGTTAATCTGTGACGTGACGCACAACAGCCAAGAAAACAGAAGCGTGGCTAAGAATTTAGTAATTTAAAAAAGTCTTTTAGATACAGTAGTAGGTATTAAAAAGTTTTGTGTTTAAATGGGGTTTGCCTTTAACAGTTAAAAATTATATCGTAAAGTATAACTTTCCGTAAGAATTCTTTATCTGTCATTGATCATGATCTGTCATCATGTTAACCTGATGTTTTGTATGTTATTTTGTTTTTTCGAGGTTTTTTGCTTGCTTGTTTTACGGATAGGTGCGATCGCATAATTATTATTGATAGTGTTTTATTTAATGTTAACACTACTACTTTTTCAGTGAATCTTTAAATCTGTTGTTTTTTGTTAAGTTCGTTATTTAAACATATGTATGTAATACACTCATATTAACACTAATCATATTTTTACGTTTTTATTCATCATTTTCAATGTCCCCCCGGTTGCATCTTTGTAAAGGACTGTGAATTTTTTTTCAGTTTGCATTTTGCAATAGAAATATATTATCTTTCTAATTTTTTGAGAATTTTTCTTTGAAATAGGAATCGAAATATTTAAAATGTTATTTCTTTATACAATTATTCAAGAATATAACATATTTTGTTGGATAGTAAAATCATAATTTTAATTTAGTATATACAAACGAGTCTTCAAAAGTTAATTAAGTGTAATTTATATATTATTTTAGAACTACATTTTTTTGTTAGAACGTGCGTTATTTACATGCCAGTGGTGAACTTCAAACAACCGCTCCACCAGTATAAATTAATATGAAATATTTACGTAACGTAAACCACGGTCGAATAATTATTAAACAATTACCAACTGAACATCAATTGAAAATAAATTAGGCGAGTAACTTTGTAAATTAATTTTTACCTTTTCCATTAGCATGTTTATAAAAAAAGGTTTAATTAACAACTTTTATAACTCCGTAAAATAATAGCAATTTGCGATTTTGTTCAGAAACAGCATGTTGAAAGTTAAACAGTTATTTATGATTTTTAGGTATCTGAATGGTTTGTCATTACGATCTATTTATGAGTAAAATACGACTCTTTATTTGGAGATTAAATCATATTTTTGAGGTAGCTATAGGCCTATTTCATTGTGCTCTTTTCAGATATATTGTGGTCCTCTTATGATCTCTAGATTACATTTTATAGTCCTGTCCCTTCCCTAAAAGTCCAATGAAACGTTCATATATGTGTTAAAACCTAATACAAAAAAACACATAATTGCCAGGCTATCCCGCCCACATAAAATGTGTTTCTGTCATTTCTTCTGAGTCTGTCGGCAGACCTACTAGAACTACGTAGCTACAGAGAAGCAAAGTTTGACTTTGCTTTTCAGGTCTGCCGTACATTTTGGCAAATGTTCTACTATGAACATTTCGCCTGGCTTTGGCCTCGTATTTTTTTACCATTCTAGAGATTTGTTTGACTACAAAATAGTGGGTGTGTTTGACCACAAAACACTGATTTGTGGTCATTTCTTGTAACTACTTTTGCAGCACCGCAGAAAAGTTCGCATATGCATTACAACCTTGTTTGGCTATTTCATCTGACATTTCGTTATTCTTGTCAAACTAACGTAATATTGTTAAGTTCGCCCAATGTATTTGGAACAGCACGCACACCATCCTACACTAATAAGTTTAACTTGTAATTGGCTTTCATTGGCCTCTTTAGAACGGAGTACCTTTAGCGCTATTTATATATCTGTTAAGATGTCGTGTATCTGTGAAGGTCTAAACGGTTTGTACTTTCCTCTCTTATTATCGTTACGCACATACAAGCAAGCCTTTGTGTAGAATTTAAGTTATCATAGGTCTTACAATACTTGAGTATTACCATAAGGTTGTTTTAAAGTTAAATTCCCAGTTTTCTCTGTTTTTTTTCTTATCATCCTTCTGCACCTGCCTATATGGAGAGGGCAGCCAGACCTAGAACCAAGAGTTCGTTGAGGTCATCTGCCAAGGTCTCCCAAATACCCTTTATTTACATTTAATTTCCTTTGTTGTTTTTTAAGTTTCGGAATTTTATATTAGTAATAAATGCCATAAACGTACGTTAAAGTAATAATTTAGAAAAAAATATCACAATATACTTTATTTTATATTTTAGGCGCCTTATTTGCAAACCATTTTAGCATTATCAGCAAATGAAAAAAAAATTCTTACAGACATAGACAGAAATAGAGTAGTCTTATTCGTTTAGGGTAACAGGAACAGAGGAGTAGAACGAATAGGACTATTATCTCCGACCATATTCTCTTTATATTTACTTTTTTAAATCCACCCAAAAATACCTGTAAAATGCCTCAAAGTGTCTGTTATTTGTTATAACTTTCATTTATTTTGAATTATGATCATACAGTATGTCCCCGGATTGTATTTATTGTATTTACAAGAAGAAAATAGTTATTTATGATATAAGTGCTAAAAGTGGTATTTTATTTTGTGAGAAGGGAAGCTTGGGACACGACGCCGAAGGCAGAGTGTCCCATCCCTTCGAACAAAATAAAATCATTTGTAGCACCCATATCATACACTATTTTTTCTACAAACAAGTTTATGCTCGTATATATCAAGGTATTATTACTTTTTACGTTAATGAATAGTTTATAATATGTCATTCTGAAATTAAATTAATTATGAAGTTTATGGTTGCTAGGATAATTGTTATCGCTTCAGTGTTAAAAGTAAATCAAGTGACTTACTTTTAGCACCAGTGCTAAAAGTAAATGACTTTTACTATCAGTGACATAATGTCACATTTTAGGCACTGACAGCATGCGTTAAAAATTACATTTTTACTGACGTTTGTAGAAAAACTTTTTTATTGTTAATATTTTGGTGTATTTGCAAGAAGAAAAACTTTTTTATTATTGATATTTTGGGAAAATTGCAGTCTTTATAAAAATATTTGCTTGTTCTAAAATGGTTAATCGCGTTTATAATTTTCCAAAAAATAATAATAATAAAAAAGAATAAATTATAAAGTAACAATAATAATTACCATTTCAGAAAAAATTAAAAAAACATGAAAATATGGTTTAATTTTTTCTCTAATTTTTTTTACCGTTTCTATGGTAATATAATTTGGATTTCATTCTTTGATGGACGACTATTATTAATTTTGATAAACGTTATATTTCCTGCTGCTATTAAAGTATCACATTTTCCGATAACTATTATCATCCTTTCCATAGCATTGAACTAAATAAATGTTTTCAAAATATCAATTATAAAAAAGTTTTTCCTCTCTGTAAAGACAATCCGGTGACATACTGTATACTGATGTTAACTACTATTTTTCTCAAAAATATGTTGAGCGAATGAGAAATTACCTGATCTGAATTATTAATTTGCCAACTAGGAAAATTAATTAAAATATTTAAAATTATATGTATTAACTGGAATTACTTTAAAAATTATAATTTTTTATATAACGATTTTTTTTATTCTTAATCATCTATATACAGTTAATACTAGCTTAATGGTACTAAAGCGTGTATCCAGAGTTTAAATCAAAGAGCTTTGCTTACTGTATTGTCGAGACCTAAGCCTTTGTGGTTTACGGCTAGAACCGCTAGATTTAGTAATTAGATTAAACAATGACAAATGAAACGGGGAAATGCTATTTTTATAGTATACAGAAGCTAACTACATGAATGTCTTTAATGACCATAACGATGACTATATAACTATGACTACAACTCCAACTATAACTGTTTTATTATAACTGATTATACCATCTTTTGTATACTCTTTTATATCAATCTTGTTATAACTGGCCATCAGAGATTACGTATTTATAAAATTTACTATATTATTTCACCAACCTGGCCATTAGTGCGATGAACTTAACCTTTAGTTACCCGCATCTAATAGCATCGACCCGACTGTTATTGTAATTGTTTTAATTAAATTTTGTTTATTTTAAAACGAATCTAGATAGACGTAAATAAATATTGTTGGCCGGCCGTCAACCCAACCGCTCTATAGCAATTTGGCTGAATAAACTTATGTATACGTGTATGACATACTGTACATACACACACAATACTTCTGTTTAACATTGTTGTAATATAATACAATTTCCTTCCAGGATCCTATGGCTAGTACCGATATCAATGGAAATGACGACGATCCCATGCCTCAAGACAATGGCGACAATAAGCACGGAACTAGATGCGCCGGAGAAGTGGCTGGAGTGGCATACAACCAGTTTTGTGGAATTGGTGTGGCGTACAATGCCAGCATTGGAGGTGAGTCGGTTATTGTCTATTGTATCGTTATATTTGCGGTTGGAATCTATCGAAGATTTCATCTCTAATATTTCAATATTAATTAATATTTGTAAAAGAGTTTACAAATCAAAAGTTAAAGATTTTAATTTCGATGAAAAAATTATTTTTAACCAATAATAGCCGATTCTTGTGATAAAAGCAAAAATAACGTTGGTCTGTCAGTGAAATGTTTATCAAGAGCCCATATATTTGGCGTTTTAAAAAAATCTCTTATGTTATGAAAACTCTCCTATTTATTGAGATATACAGGGTCTGGCAATAGTGCGTCGGGCATCTGTTGCTCCTAGAATAAAAAAACTTGGGAATTTTGTTTTTAAGTGCAAAATAATTATTTTAACTGCTATAGGTGACTCAAAAGAGTTTGAGTGGATGGGGATGATTTTTTTAAATGGAACACACTGTATATTATTGTATTTTTGGCTTCCTCTCAGATCACTTTACATAATTCTAAGATATGAGTAAATATATTTCGATAGTTTCAGAGATATTAATAATTAAATAAAAATTTATATTTTTCAGCTTTTCTTCAAAAAATCTTAAAAATATAAGAACTGTCCTGAAATCAAAACTGTATTAGGTATTAGGTACTTTGCTATAAATATGGCAATCGTAAATCATACAGGATGTTCAAACTTTCAGAAATATAAAATAATGTTTCTTTGTTTTTTTTAATGGAACACCCTATATATTATTTTTTCAGTAGATGGAGAATTAAAAAATTAACATTTTTTGTATTTAGAGTATTTCAAAAATTTTAAACGCAGTTTCGCAGATATTCGCGGTTTTATATTTCATATGGCATCTTCCACAATAAATTTTTATCAAAGCCACCCAATGATTTTTCTTTCGTATTTTACCATTGATAAAGCCATATGAAATAATACTGCGTGTATATCCGAAACCATTAAAAATTTTGAAATACTTTAAATACAAAAAATATTTATTTTTTAATTCTCCATCTAATAAAAAAAATAATATACAGGAAAATAATATACATTTAAAAAACAAAAAAAAAATATTTTGTTTTAGAAAGTTTGGCCTAGAATTTTGACCATCCTGTATGATTTAAAATTACGATATTTATAGCAAAATAAGTTTAGTTACAGGTCTTGTATTTGTAATATTTTTTTAACGAAGGTTGAAAAATATATTTATTTATTAATATCTCTAAAACTATCGAAATATATTTACTCACATCTTAGGATTATGTAAAGTGATCTGAAAGGAAGCCAAAAATGCAATAATATACCGGGTGTTCCATTTTTAAAGAAGCATCCCGATCCACTCACACGCTCTTGAGCAACCCTATAGAAGTCAAAATATTTTCCTGAAATACATCCTCGTACATACTTTAGGTTTACACTTAAACAAAATTCCCAAGTTTTTTATTCTAGCGGCTAAACATGCCCGACGCACTATTGCCGGACCCTGTATAGTTAGGATGTCATCTAACTATTCCCTCTAAATACTGAACCCTAGATTTTACTAGAAAACTAATATAAAATTCGATGTGTTGGAAAGTTATATTATACTTTCTAAAATGAATAATAAAATTTCTATAATGTATTAGATATTGTTCATAAACGAAGTAGTAAACCTACACTAATGGAAATCTTAATACTGAGATTAAACACATAATTTAATAAATTTAACACGCTTCTTTAATTTTAATTAGTTTGTCAATAGGTCTCTAGTTACTCTTTTTATTACTGTCTGGAAAGACATTTTACTGATGAAGCTCTTGAAATACCAGACACGCTGTTCTCTCAGACAAGCTGTCTTGAATAACTGAGATAATTAAAAATACGGAATTCTTAGATGTCTTGTCCTTTTTGTGGCGAGTAATTTGTTATTTACTTACATTTCTCTTTACTTTACTTACAAAGTTTTCATAGAAGCATGAAGAACTATGAAAAATAAGTATGTTAAAATAATAAAACTCTTAAATATATTTGCTCATATTAAAATAAGCATATTATACCACACGAATATTAATAAATTTCGACTTATTATGTACAGGGTGGGTCAAATTCGACGCTTTTAAATTGAAACACCCTTTTCTATACGAGATAGACGAAAACTAATATCGGTGTCTGGAGCTCAATTTTCATCAAAAACATGATGGTGAAAACCGCACATCAATATCTGTTACCGTTTAGGAGTTACGGGGTGTTTTTCAAAAATGTGCATTTTTAACAAATCGCTGTAACTTTTTTGCTATGGAAAATTTTGTATTTCTATGAAAACATTTCCAAAGCACCTTTTTACGTAGAATATAATGGTTTAAGTATAATTTTGTTAAAATTAATAATTTAAGAGTTATCAACAGAAAAATTTGATTTTTTATTTGGGACACCCTTTATATTTTTAATTAACTGAAAAGAATTTAAAATTACCTTTCCAAAAATGTAGCACACTTGATATTTTGTTACAGAAAATAAAAGAATACAGAATACAGAAATACAGAATTTTTAAAAGTTCACCACTTTTAACTAGTAGGCTTTGGACCCCTTATTGATGATATGCCCTTAATAGAACTCGAAAACATATTTTTCCAGTAAGACGACGCACCGCCTCTGAACGCTGAAGGTATCAGCAAATTTTTGCAGCCAATTTCAAGAATAATTGAATAGCTAACCAAGATCCCAGCCGTTGGCCGTCGAGACCACCTGACTTAGTACCCATGGATCTAATCCTATGGATATATTTGCGGAATAAAGATTCCTTATTCTTCCATATAATCTAGACAAGAATTAGAAATACTTAGCATTTATGAGAGGGTATCTTTCACCCCCACTGAGTTAATGAATTCCGCGAGAAATGTTCAAAAACTGCCCCGTCTGTCCATAACAGAAGACGGTCGATATGTTGAACACCTGTAGCAAAATCTCATGTCTTGGTTTGCTATTTATTTTTATTGTAACTAGATATAGTTTAAATGTGTTGGTGTTGGTTAAATATATTTTAAATTGTTATAAATTTCTGAATCTCTCATAGCAAATATTATTTTCATTTTAATTGATGCTCACAGCTACATTTTTTTGCATTACAGCCGGTGCCGTTCAAAGCCTACTTATTTAAAACGGACGAATTTTTATATACTCTATATCTCGAAGAGGAATCGAGCAAAATATCAAGTGTGTTATATTTTTGGAAAGATAATTTTAACTTTTTTTCAATAAATTAAAAATATACAGGGTGTCCCATATAAAAAATCAAATTTTCTGTTGATAATTCTTAAATTATTAGTTTTAAAAAAATTATACTTAAACCATTAAATTCTACGTAAAAAGGTGATACGAAAATGTTTTCATAAAAATACAAAATTTCCCATAGCAAAAAAGTTACAGCGATTTGTTAAAAATGCATATTTTTGTAAAATACTCCGTAACTCCGAAACGATAACAGATATCGATATGCGGTTTTCACCATCATGTTTTTGATAAAAATTGAGCTCAGACACCGATATTAGTTTTTTTCTATCTCCTATAGAAACGGGTGTTTCCATTTAAAAGCGTCTAATTTGACCCACCCTGTACACCAGCTGTCTAAGGAGACAACATATACGGCAGGACTGGAATAACGGTAACATAATTCTAATGCATAAGAAAGGGAGCAAAGTAGACAAGTAACATACAAAATACTTACAAAAATAAAAACAACGGAATACAAAAACGTTAGACGCTGCACAACCGCGGAAACAAGCAAGCTTTAGGAGCAGCTTCACGTTGATCACATACATACACTAAGAGAAACATCAACCGAACAAAAGAATACGGACTTCCACTAACCATAACCTTTATAGACTTTGAGAATGCTTTCGACTCGATATATCTTAAGGCAATAATAAAAGCCTTAGCGAAAAAAGGTATTGACAGGCTTTATATAGAAACTCTCGCCAATATATACAAAGAATCCAAAGTAAGAGTAATGATATATAAAACAACTCCAGACCAACAACGGATTAAAAATGGATGGAGAAGATCTTAACCATCTAAGATTCGCTGATGACATAGTCCTAATTGCCAGTAGTCCTGAAAAACTACACGCACAAATTAATAAACTAAATACAGCCAGCAATAAAGTGGATCTCAAAATGTATTTAACAAAAACTACAGTAATGTACAACGAACTAGAAGAAAGAAATGAGATTCTAATAAATAACACAACACTGGAAATAGTAGAAGAATATAAATAAAAAAAAATTTCTCTCACTCCGACTTAATAAAAAATGTATATACCTATGCGGCGGATTCATCTCCAAAAAAATTCTTTATGAGTATTTCGCCACTGCACTGCAAGAAAATCTACAAAATAAAATACTTGTTTTTTGTAAACGATTCTGCGTTAAACCTAAACGGACGCTGCTTATCAGAAGTTATGTTTACAGTAATACAAATTTGCCTAACAAAGAAAAAATGCTTAACGTTTCGGAAAGTTCGATCTCTTTCCGTCGTCGGAAGCAAAAAATACAAAGAATAACGAAAAAAACTGTTTAAAATATTAAAAATTCAACTATTCGAGAACACTTTACTTTTTTAAAACGGATACGTCTACAAGAAACCGTTGATGTTCTGTTAAAATGACATTATATCAAGTTAAACTTCAAAATTAACAATTACTTAATAAGGTAAAACCAGGGCCCAGTCACTCTTATGGAGCATTAAATTACAAATTGACGATTCGGCCCACTATAGATGGTGCTAATTTACGTCGTGTATATATGGTTGCAGAACAGTTCGTCGTGTATGTATGGTTGCTTCAAACGTTACGATTGGCTCGGTCTTTAAATTCATATTATAAATTTTGCGACTAATTTCCCTCTTCCGTCCACACTGTACTTCAAATACTCCTTTATTTATAGTTCAAACTATATTTAAGCTGCCTATATTTTGTTTTTAATACAAAATGTATTTCTCGTGCTTTTTGTATTCCATTTCATATGGAATATTTTTCAT